AAAAAAAAATGTAGTATTACAATATTTTCAATGTTGTCATTGCTGATATATAAGGGGGGATGCGTCCAGATAAGTTACAGCTCCTCAGCATTCTGCAACATAACTATCTATTAGCACAAGTGCAGCTAAGCGTGTCGACTAGTCTAAAATTATAAATAAAAAATAAAAAAGAGAACATTTTCAATACTTACAAACTTCCCATGCCTGTCATACTACTCAAGGGTGGAAATTCTGAACCCTTTCCATTTATGTCACTGATCCTTCTGCATTTAATTGCATCATGAACCATTGTTAAAAAGAATCCCTGTTATAGGAAGTTATAATTAACTTGTAAACGCATATTTAGGTTCTTTAGTGTTAATGCAACTTAGGATTGAATGCAGAACTCACAGTTCTGTTAAATTACTCAAGGCAGAAATGCTAGACGGAATGGGCCCTTGGAGACCACTAGCTTGGATCTCTCTGTCAACAACAGAATTCAAAACGAATAGATGTTACACCAGAAAATTTATATACCTTAACAATTTACAATATGGGATAGAAAAATCACTTACAATTTCTGAAGTTGTTTCCAGCTTCGAATAAAATCAGGTATTCTTCCTGTGAAGTTGTTACTGCTAATCCTACTGCATAAGGAGAAAGATTGAATAGCATAAAGTTGAAGATTTCTTAACATGCCAAATTTATAAAGTAATTAGAATTAAAGCAATGTTAAGGGTACAAACACTTACAGTTCTGTTAACTTAGTCAGATTAGTAAGAGCCAGTGGCAACTCTCCTGTGAGATTGTTTGCACTAAGAATGCTGCAGATGCCAATGCCAACTTATCAACTGGTACTTGCATATTCAACTTATTTCATATTTAAAAATCAAGAATTAAACAAAAGAAAACTGAGGGTGAAAGGGAAAAAAAGAAAAAAGAAAAGAGGCTTACAGATTGTTCAAGTTAACCAATTTCCCAAGCTCAGGAGGAACAGTTCCAGAAAAGTTGTTATTCTCCAAGCTCCTGAAAACAGATTCTCCTTCATCACACTAGGCTAAAATCAAATGAAACTTAAAATTGATTTTGACAAATAATATGAGGTGGTAAAGAGAGATAGAGCCAGAGCATACATATATATTAGGGTGCTTATGTTTCCCAAGTAGCCAGGGATTGGTCCTGATAAATTGTTCACAGTAACGGACCTGCACAGTGTACACATTTTGTCACTTCAGTTAATATAAGCTACTATTGGCTAACCTGGCATGAAGTTCAGAAATCCTTTACAGAAATTCCAACTTTGTAGAAGCCCATTCACGCGGAATAGTACCGGTAAGGTAGTTCCTGGTAAAATCTCTGTAAACAAGAGTAGAAGATATTAGTAATAACATTACCATTTGTGGAAGTGATATAAGAAACGTTTTCAGATGATAGATGCTATTAAAAATAAAAAAAGTAAAAATTTACAACTAAAAATGTTTCCCTTACACTCTTGTTAGGTAGGGTAACTTTGCAGCAGATGGTGGAAGTACACCAGCAAGATCTTGCCCTTTAAGAAAACTGTATCACAAAAATGTCAGAGATCATAAGAACAGAAAGAGTCTTCATTCTGAATCTTCTCCATAGAAAAATAATGAAAACTGGATTGAAATGCTACATAAGATAATTAAACCAATAAATAAACAAACAGAAAATGAGAAATGAGTACAAATAAAAGCTTTCAGTTGACGTACATGCTGACAACATGGCAGAAACCATCAGGGTAAGAGCAGTTGCATATGAGAGTGTTGTTGTATAGAGGCAAGTCATCAGATTTTTTGGTAGCCCAATTTGTGCCATTGCTGCATGGATCTATGCTGAAGTTCCAGTCTTTTTTTCCCACTTGTGTTGCTATTTCTTTTAGTGCTTCCACTGCGCACACAGATCAAATCATGAATCTTTTTATTTTTCCATTTTCTGTGTTTTTTATGCATCAGCAGAGTTTATTTTTCATTTTTCAAAGAAAAGTAGAGTGATTGAGCCTGATATTGGCCCAAATTAATGTTGATGCCAAAATAGTGATTGGGCTTGGGCCTTGTGCCACCCACCATTTTAACCTAGTAAACTTCTCTAGAAGATACAGATCGTGCTCTGTATCTCTCTCAATCATTGAATTTCATATCCATTTCCAGTTGTAATGATGAAAAAAAATTCAGGTCCAACTCTTTAGGTTCTTTCATTTCGTTTTCGATTAAAAAGTTGTAACCTTTATGCTTTTGAATCAATATAAATTTAGGATGAAAACAAGTTCTTTCTTTTTTAAAATCTTTTTTGTAAGTTTATAAAAAAAAAACCCAGGCTTCATTTTTTTCAAAACAAAAACTGAGGCTTTAGTGCATAGATTTTGAGTATCAGCAACACCAACTTGTAAAAAACATTCAGAAGAAGAAGAGATTGTGCTTCAACTTTGATTGTGGATATGCAGATGCAGAAGCAGAGGACCAACATGGCTACCAAAATGACAAGGTCCATGGTGGCTTTTGAAACATCAAAATGAAATCTTGCCATATCAATCCCTGATGTAATATAATTCTGTTGCATTTACTAACATATAAGAATAAAACTTGTATGAATTTCACATTAAAAGAAACAATCCAATACCTAAAAAGAAACTAGATTGATTGAATTGAATGGTAGTAGTTCATCTCATGCATATTCATTCTTTTACTTATTCTTTAGTTCCTTTATTCGAAATAATTGAACACGTTATAAAGAGAGTTTCATGTTGTAAATTGAACAATAGTTGAGAAAACAGACTTTCAATATCAAACTGGAGGGTTTCAAAAAGGTCAAAACAAACCACACGAAACTAATTGTGGTTTGGTTTGATTCCTTCAATCCAAAATTACAATTTTTTAGTGAAAAAATCAAAACATTGGCATACTGCCGCTAAAACTTGATTGAAGTGAGGCTTGAGTGAATGCATGGATATTAGTATTACCAATATATACACACTTACACAAGAAAAAGAGTAAGTTACCTTCTGCAGCAGGCAGACGCGAAGCTTGTGCTTCAACTTTGACTGATTTGGTGCATAAGCAGAGAACCGAAATGAGCATAATAAGGTTCATGATGGTTTTTGGAGCAATACAATTCACTCCTCTTGCCATTTATCCTTGATGCACTACAATGGTAAGAAAACTCTCTCGGATTTTCTCTTTCTTTCTCTTTATCTCATCCTCACTCTTTTTTCTTAGGCTTGTACAATGCACACAAACCATTACCTATTTATAGGCAAGGAGTGCCAGACCCTTCAGTGAGATTTGTTGAAAAATATAAGTTCCACATCGGAAACTTGACTAAATAAAATACAAGATATAATGAATGGTTCCACTGCTAAAAACACCCAAGCCTTTTATGATAAAACTCAACACCTACTGGGCTTTGTAGGTGGTTAAATTGGGGACAATATCGGTGTTGCGAGTAGTGGGCTGCTGACACGTCTATCTGAATTTAACATGATATCAGAGCTGGTTAAATGACTGGCCTGAAATATTGGGTCTTTATCCTTACCCCTTACCCAATATATAGTGTTCACATGTTGGGCTTGAATATTTACCCTTACCCCATACCCAATACGTAGTGTTCACGTGTTGGGCTTAAATGTTTACCCTTACCCCTTACCCAATACGTGGTGTTCACGTGTTGGGCTTAAATGTTCGACTCTGATGTAGACTTAATTCCACGTGTGACCCACTATATAGTGGTCCCATATGAGGGGACTAAGCTCCACGTGTCACCAGGAAAATAATGAGTGGTCAATTGTATAAAGACCCGACAATATTACGTATAATTAATTCATCGGGTTGGTGCAGTTAATGCACTGACAGATCTACATTTCTGTCCACCAAAAAGGCTCTACATTTCCATACTCAACGTTTTTAATGTTAGTGAAAAAAAGAAAGAAGCTTGGTCTATTACTTTATGTAATATATTGTCGACGGGTGAAGTAAAATTTCCAAATATTGCAGTTACAGTTTCAACGTTTCTATTAATTTGTAGACATTTACAGCAGAAATTATTCAGTCTTTGGTGAGGAAAACGAGTGAACGAATTAAATTGAATCTTCAATTGAATAATATTGATATTGTTATTATTGTTGTTTGCAGAGACAAGCATGGAACGAATAAAGCTAATAGAAAATTGAACAAAATATGTACAGAAAAGAAAATATGGACACAGCTAATCTGCATATGCGTTTCCGAAGACTACAAACTACAACATACTTGCTACTATAGAACCAGAATGTCCACAACTGTCAAGAGGGTGTTGAGTCTGGATTGATTTCAGAGAATTCAAGGCCGGACGTAGAGGTAGACTCGAATGTGTGGACCGTAGTTGAATGCTGTGTTCCACTGATACTTAAACTATGATCTTGCCTCTGCCGCTGGAGGTCTCTCATGGCCTTAAACCTCAAATCTTCTCTATAGGTACTTGGTTCTGGGATCACGTCAGGAACAGGGATTTGTCCTTCAAGCATGCTCACCACCTCGGACATGCTAGGCCTAAGTGATGCAGAGGCATTTGTACAAATCAGAGCCACTTTAACCATGATCTCTGCTTCTTTTTGGTCAACCTCGGACCCTAACTTCTCATCAACTAGCTCCAACAAGTTTCCAGTTCGTTGCAAATGACAAGCCTGCAAATGTTTGTTGTAGTTTCTCACTGAATTATAACAATGAAAACAAGCAGATGTGACAAGATGGATGTAAAAATGGATCAAAGAGCAAGAGGGAATGGTAAGAGTACCCAATCTAAAAGGCAAACCCAGTCATCACTTGGGATATAATTATTGTTGTTCTTCCCACTAATAATTTCCAAGGCCACTACTCCAAAACTGTAAACATCTGCTTTGTACGTCAGGTGACCCCATAATGCATATTCTGGTGCCATGTATCCTCTGCAAATCAAGATCCCAAAATCTTGTTATTCAACCAGAAAAAAAAAATCACCAATTTAGCTAGAATTTGTTGCAAGTATATCAACAAGTCAAGGTAAACAAGGACATGGAAAGTGGAAACTGACATGGTCCCAGCAACTCGGGTGCTCATGTGCGTCTTCTCCTCTTCATCAAGCTTTGCTAATCCAAAGTCGGATATTTTAGGGTTCAAGTCCCGATCAAGCAGCACATTAGTAGCTTTGATGTCTCGGTGAACAATTTTAAGTACAGATTCTTCATGGAGAAAAGCTAGTCCTCTTGCTATCCCAATACAAATATTACGACTTGTTGGCCAGTCCAGTTTAAGATGATTTTCTCGACCTACAAAAGTTTGTCAAAGAAAATACTGCTCGCTCAGACTTTCTTTTCAACTATAAATAAATTGTGTGAAAGAAATTCGAAAACAAAACGGAACACCAGTAGTACTCAGGGAGTATGCAAGAAGAAACCTAGAAATCAGTATAACCCATCCAAGGATATAAATAAAGAAAAGGATAAAAACCAACTTATACACTTTAGAACAAGATCAGTTACATCTTAATTGGTTTCCGCACTTATACAATTGAGTAATTGACATCATACTCACCAAACAATGCTCGTGCAAGGTTATTGTTTTCCATGTACTCATAGACCAGCAATAGCTGACCTCCATCAATACAACATCCATGAAGCTTCACAAGATTTGGGTGCTGGAAACAAGAAATCATGCCCATCTCATTTAAGAATTCACGATTTCCCTGCCTTGACTTGGATGAAAGCTGCTTAACGGCTATCACTGTAGCATCAGGCAATTGACCCTGCATCCCAACCCATGTTCAGAACTATGTATGTAAACGTAAAACAGGGAAATCTTTTATATAAAAAAAACATGGAAAAGATTCAACGTACAGATAGCTAAAGTACCTTGAACACAGGACCAAAACCACCTTCTCCGATTTTGTTAGCAGAATCAAAGTCATTAGTGGCAGATTTTAATTGTTTTAAGGTAAAAGTCCCTGTCTGCCCATCAAGTCCTTCTCTATCTGTCCAAGGAGGCATCAGAAGAGTATGGGTGTTATTCATCATTGCTTGAGCAATCAAAGAGTGCAATTGTTATTTTTTTTTCCTTCATTTTTATATACTTGTGAAAACTATCAGTAGGAACCAATGAATCTGAGAATGACACATTTCGATATGATGAAGCACCTTTCTTTCTCCCCCTTTTGCCTGGCATGTATCCTTTCCACCAAAGGATTCCTAATATAACAAACACTAGGCCAAATGCTCCTCCTACAGCTCCAGCAACAATGTGAGCAGTTCCCTTGCTTTCACCATTTGAGCAATCTTTGGAATCTGCTCAAAAGAACAAATCAATTAACTAACTGGAATAACATTAAAGGAAAAAAGGACATCCAGGAACACGTTGTTTTCAAATGCTGAAGTGAACCTAAATTTTCCAAATTGGATAAACAAAATTGTAAAAGAGGTTGGGAAGTGTGCATTTGAGCCTTTATTAGAAACCCTTCATATCAGGATTAAAAGCAAAGTCATGTTTTACACACATTAAATCCATTCCATTCATAGGAACGCACATAAAATAGCTTTGCTCTTGCCGCAGATAAGTTACAGAATTAAAACTTTAGCACAAACTACCACTAAAATCGGACTCTATGTTCATAGAAAAAACAAAATACCCTAATTAGCATTAAGGGAAAAGAAAAAGCAGCAGATGCATAACACATAGGTACCATCATCATACCACCAGTTCCTAACCTAGCCTGCTTCCTGAACTAGGTTCCCATGTTGTGTCTAATGTTAGGCCTCAAAACTCTGTCTGAGCCAAACCAAGTATGGCCCAGGCTGAGAAACAGATGTTGAAAACAGAAAAAATTGTGATCCAAGCTTTATCCCAAGCATACCTTATTATGAGTGCTTTACAATAAGGGTAAAGAAGAAGATTGCATCCAAATAACTCACCAGATTTCACAGAAATAGCAGAGATAAGGGGACCATAGACTCCTCTGTCAGGGATTCTTGTTGTCCCTTTACCAGCAAAATAGAATCGGATCTCTAAGATATTATTTGTTACACTGACATTATGTTCTAGTATTACAGGCTTCTGAGCCATCTTTGCCTCATCTTCAATATTGAAATCCTTTCGCAATACTTCTTCCTGAGACAAAGCGCTTCACATTACACCTATTTGCAACTTCATAATATACATTTTTAACAAAGTGACTAATTACCTGAACATAGATATCAAATACGCGTCTGCCAAGACTCGTATATGTTTGGTCATTTGTAAACTGTATCTCCGCAAAGTGAAGACTTACAGTATAGTCATTTTCTAAGCAATAATGGAAATATGTGATTGAAATTGGGGATATGCGTGCTGTCGTGTATAAATCAGAGAGATTTGAAGATGCCAGAGATACAGAGTAACGTGTATTTTGGAAATCATTGTCATCCATGAAGTCTCCAGTGCTACTAAATCCCCAAAAATAATCACCATTTAAGAAATACTCTGCAGCGCCACCTTCAACTCCTCCATCTCCTTCATACACAATGTTTCCTTTATTTTCTTTGATGGTGACATCATTTCCACCACAATTAACATGTAAACAAGTTGAATCTGGAATAATGGATTAAAATAAAAATATATGTGAGAGAATATGAAAGCAACAATTACTAATTGACAAGAGTATTCAGATATAAAACTTTTGAATATCATGGTATTCTCTCTGAACATTTTCAGGCAGAGCGAGTTTCAAACTTCACTCAAATTCTTTTTCATTGTATTTTTTCTCTGAAACAAAGACTTTAAAATCAGAAGAATTTACTTTTTTGGGTGTAGCAATCTTTATCATTTACAATCTTCTTCTGCAACAAAGCTGATATTGCTTCATGATCAAACTAACTGAAACATGCATCTTCTCTAAAATAAAAAAAATAAAGGAGATTACACCATTTCAAGTAGAAGTAGAAATTCCAATACATGTACTAAAACTTAAATAAACTGTATAGCATTGCATATTATTTAAGCCAATTAGAATATATCCTTACAGCGTGGGCAGTTGAGATCCTTCAAGCATGGAAGACCTCTCCTTCTGTCATAATTGAGTAAAAAAACATATATTAACATGGAATGTATGCCATGTGTATATATGAACATCTTTTCTCACTGTAATGCAACAAAAAGAAAGTAAGACAGAGAAAGACAATCTTACAAGTTATTCTCTGTTGAAGAGCTTCGAAACAAGTTCAGGTTTAGATTGCTATTAAAAAAGGAAAAAGGGGAAACAACCATTAGTTTCTATCCATAAAAAACCGGCATAATACATGAAAAACTACTAGAACAGTATTCTCACATGTTGTCCTGACAAGTACGTTGCTCAAGGCCTTGCCATGTAAAGTTATTGTATGAAAGATCACTGCATGCAGGAAAGGTCACTCTCTTTAGGGAGAAACAAACATAAGCCAGAAAAGGTGTGTGTCCATTGTATTGATCCTCAAATTGTTAGCTTCCAGAATTCCATTTTTAGTAATAACATATACATGAGACAGATCTTGGATACACATGGGAAGCATACAAGGAAAAGGTAAATCGCAATTATATCAAAAGAAAAAAATAAATAATATGAAGAATTGAAGATAAGAATTACACATACACATTACTTCCATCCTCGAAGATTGAGCCAGGTACACTTCCACTCAGAGAGTTTCCAGTTAAAATCCTATAGAAAGAAATATCAGATTTTTCAGAATGCTACAACATCAATATTCAATACTAGATTATTCAAAAGAAAAAAAAGAAAAAAAAAAGGAAAATTAAGCACACACCAACCTAAAGATATAAGTTTGCATTTCTATCCCAATATAATTAAAAAATCGTAAATTCTGTAGGCATTCACGTGCCCATGTTTGTGTCACAGAAATTTAGTTCCTTCTTTATCCAGTAATATATCCAGCATTTCCCAGAAACTTTTAGGGAAGAAGAATCACAAGCAATGGACCTTTGTAGTTTATAATTAAAGGCATAAGTAAATTACCATACTTCCAATCTGAATGCGCCATAATTAAATGAATCACAAGGTTATACTTACAGGAATCTCAAACGCTCTAAGTTTATAGTGTCTGGAACTTCCCCTACTAACTTGTTAAAACTGACGTCCCTATCACAATCACAATACAAAAGATATAATCAACCTGCATTCACGGTCATAATACAACAATACAATCAGTATCCTACTTCACAAGGTTTACTTACAACATTTTCAGGTTTTGTATCGTCCAGATGTATGGAGGAATCTCTCCAGAAATGTTGCAGTTTCTGAGAACCCTAAAATACATAACTGAATAGCATTAGACAAACCACCATCAAAAGTAAAATATAAATAATAATTGCCTTCAGAAAATTTGATGATAAAAAACTCAACGTACAATATCACTAGGCCTGCCATGTTTGTCAACGTAGGAAAACCCTGCTGTGGCCCCTTTATATCGCTAATCCTCCTATATATAGATATGGAACCACAAATGAAAAGCCTAAAAAAAAGGACAAGTAATCTAATAAATACATACAGCTACAAAGAAAACTTGAAAAGGCATTTTACTCACAACTCTTGTAAATTACTCAAAAGAGATATGTTGGAGGGGATGGGTCCCTGAAGCCCACTTGCATGCATTTCTCTTCAATCATCCAAATATACATTTATAAGAAAAAAAAAATTAAAAATAGAAATAAATAAGAATGAAATAATTTTGTCATCTATAATAACTTGAAATGTAGGTCGAAATTTCGTGAAAAGAAAAAAATATCTTACAATCTCTTAAGTTTTTCCCAATTCTGTATGAAATCAGGTATCGTTCCATTGAAGTTATTATCGTTTATTCTACTGCATTAGACAGGAGTATGGAATCAATTTGACATGTAAACTTGTTTTATGTATTACAATAAAATAAAATAAAAACAAGTACAGTAAAAACTTACAAGTCTGTTAAATTTCTTAGCCCAGCCAATGCCACTGGTAACTTTCCGGTCAAACGATTGGAGGACAACACCCTGCAATTCAAATACCAAAGCAATGAGCCATCAATTTTTACCTAGAATGCATCATTCCCAGTGTTTATAGTGTAGAGAAAAATCAAGAATCAAAATTTCTGAAAGAAAATTGCATTACAGAGTTCCCAAGTTGATTAAATTCCCAAGCTCAGGAGGAACAACTCCAGAGAACTGATTTGCTTCAAGAGTCCTGATTGTTTGAAAAAGAAAAAGGAAATAATATTGAGATTTGACAAGGAGGATTCTTGTACTTCACCTAGCCCCAGGTGAGGTTAGTATAGTTTACCCTAAATATATAGATATCAGGCATAAAACCCTCTCTTCTTTTATTTTCTTTCCTTTTTTCCTGCTAAATAAATATAAAAACAAATGACAACCCCTGTCATTCAAAAAGATGTACAAAATTATGTAGTAATAAGATGAGGGAACCGTACAGCGTTACGACGTGACAGACAGTGTTGTTGCAGTCACAAGTAATGTTACCCTCAGATCCTTTTGGCGGATCTGCTGTTACCCCAACCATTTCAATTTTGCAAGAATCACCATTAAACTTCCAAAACTTTGCACCCATCGTACTAGTTATTTCTTGGAGAGCATCAACTATCCATCATGAAACAACCGTCACATAATCAATATATGGATTCAAGGAAATAATCAATTTGTTATATACAGAGATTGGCAAATAATTTAATTAGTCTCTCCTCTTTCAAAAAGCAATGTTTGGTTGTATTTGGAAACCAGAAGAGGGAAATTAAACCGACCATCACATAAAAGGAAATTAAACTGGTTCGAATTGACATTTGAACATCACATAAAAGGAAATTAAACTGACCATGCAAAAAACTGAAAAACTGAATGCTCAAGGTAAGAGAAATCCCTTGAAAAACCAATGACCTTGTCAAAATTCGGTGGCTACACTCCAATTAACATTGCAGATACCTCTAAAGGAGACTTATTAGAACCAGTCCCAAAATACCAGAACTTAATGCGCAAGTCAAGAACTCAAAGCAGTTAGTTAAGAGAAGAGAGGGCCAATTATCCATTTGTTCACTGAGAAAATCTAAGAAGAAAATAAACAAAAATGGTTGATTCTGATTACAAAAGAACAAAAAGTAAGTGTGTTCCTGTGTGTAGTATGCGAACATTTGTGCTGATACAGAGTGCAACAACATCTCAAGATTCAACTTTCAGCAACCCAATTGAAGTTTTAAGCAATAGAGTAAGGTATTAGCTCTTACTTTCATCTTGGGGCACCTTGGACTCTGCAAACCTCACCAAGCTGAAGCTGCAGCTTAGCACAGTGACCAATAAAACAAGCAGGCTATTGCTCTTGGCTACCATGGTGATAAAGATTCAAGATTTGGGACAAAAATCTTGGCTTGTGAAAGAACAGCGGTGTGCAGCCACTGATATGATATGATACCCTAGCTGACAGCTTCACAATTTGAGCTTTGAAGACTCCAGGCTAGTCAGCAGTGCATGTAGTCGACATTTGACAGAATGCAATGCTTTAAAATTTCAACACGTGACTGCAAGTAAAAGCAATGTTTGAACTGCTTTGGAAACCACTGGGCTGAGGCCGTGGCTGCGTGCCTGGACAACCCAGGTTTGACGTTCTTTTGTATTTTCCCCCAATAATTCAATTTTTTTTTTTTGGTGAACCCAATAATTCAATTTTGATTGCTCTTCTTTAATTTTTTTAGTTAAATATTTATTGACCATCTTCATGCCATGCAAATCCAAATTTAAATCTTATCATCATGATTCTATGATCTGTTATGTTCAGGGAATTGTTTTCCATTTCCTTTATTTTTATTTACTCAAAAAAAAAGTGCAAAATTACTATTTTGAAATGCCAATAACAATTTCATCTTATTTTCCAAACATGTATTTCACTTTGACACACAATTAATTAAAAAATAAAGGTGTCCTGCTAAAATTAATGAGAAATAAGATAAATAAATAAGCAAGTTGTTTGGATTAATATTTATATTCGGGCCGAAAGGATAGGCTCCTGGTTTCAGAACAAGACAGATTTATTAAGACTTTATTCGAGACTGTAGGGCCCCATTGTAAGGCACCGTACTAATTCCACGCGCGTCAAGCCACGTAATGTCACTGTTTGACTAGCCCCGAAATACTCCAGAAATTATTTTCCTTTTTTATAATAATTTTTTTTGTTTTTGTTATTATCTAAATGTCGGCAGGACATTTATCCTAATATTTTGACCCAAAAAAAAACATTTATCTTAATATTCTCGAACATAATTTAATGTTTTTTTTGGTTGGATAACATAATTTAATGTTAAGCACTAGCAATTACTAATTAGCAAAGGGTTTTCTTGAATTCTAGATTAAACGAGGACAAAATTAAGAGGTTTTTATTTGCTACTTAAGATCGTTGTTGAGAAAATTATAAATTATAATATGATTCCATGCATGGGTATATCTTGAGATATTGCAAGCAACTTGGTGTTATAATTACATATCCTTATAGTATTATGTGCATGCCAAAAGCGACTATTCCTCATTCAAACAAGGTTGTTAATTAGATTACTTTTATTAATCTAGGTAAAAGCTTATAACCCAAATTCAATGGATGGCGGCTCACAGCTTGAGATCATTAAACCGAAGTTGCGTGGAATCAATCCAGACCTAACAAATAATATACACGTCAACGGATCCATAGCTCAATAGTAAGAGTATTTATATGCATATAATTGATCTCATATTTAAATCCTAATTACACCTTTCCCTTTCCCGTTCCAAACTAACAATAAAAATGTCAAATATTCATTTGCCTGATGAGTACAGACAGACAGAGAGTGATTTATGATTAATGAAGTATATTTTGGGCACATGTGGAGATGTATGCTCTCATTGTAACAAGCTACTAGCTGGTCCAATAAGCTCTTGTTGCTGCAAAACCACAATTATATTTTGCTGATGAAATATTCTCAAGTATTCTAACATTAGTTGTATTCTTTTATTTATATTTATTTTAATAATACATGTATTTTATTTTTTTTCTCTTTCCTTGCTTTCGTTTCGTACATATTTTGACTTTCAATTCAATTGGTACTGTCACATACACCGAACTTCGTTGAAACTTGAAAGGATGATAACTTAGTTTTTCCAGGCTTTGGGCAAAAGCCCACAACGTTCTTCTGATAGGCCTCTCTCTCTCTCTCTCTCTCGTCACATAAAAATATAGCCAAATAAACTCATGATCAAGCTATTTTATACACACAAAATACAACTTACACGTATCAAGCTAAAGTTGATTTAATTCAAATCATGGCCTGAGGTAGAGGAAGAGCAAAATGTATTATTAGTTGTCTGGCTTCCGCCTAAACTGAGATTTTGACTTTGGTCATGGACATCTCTCATGGCCTTGAACATCAAATCTTGCGTATACGTAATTGCCTCTGGGACCGCAACGTCTGGGACTGGTGTTCGTCCTTCAAGCATGCTCACCACCTCGGACATTGAAGGCCTAAGTGATGGAGACGCATTTGTGCACAACAGACCAACTTTAACCATTACTTCTGCTTCTTGACCATTCACTTCATACCCTAACCTTTCATCAACCAGCTCCTTCAAGTTTCCAGTTTGTTGCAAACGACTGGCCTGCAGCAGAAGTTTCACTTTATAAACAAGTTTCTTAATATATAACTAACACAAACTACTTGTCAGAAAAAACAAAAAACAAAAACAGCAATGTTTATCCAATGGCTTGAGTGATGATTGGAAGCTATAGTATATAGTACCCAGTCTAGGAGACAGACACAACTGTCACTTGGGGAATAACTGTTGTTCTTCCCGCTAACGATTTCCAAGACAACAACTCCGAAGCTGTAAACATCTGCCTTATAGGTCAAGCGACCCCATAGTGCATATTCTGGCGCCATATATCCTCTGCAAATTAAGATCCCGGAATTTTGTTATTCCAATTAAAAAGACTCAAATTTACCCGAAGATATGCAAACGTGTAGAACTAAATGTAATGGCAACTGACATGGTTCCAGCAACTCTGGTGCTAATGTGTGTTTTCTCCTCTTCATCAAGCTTTGCCAATCCAAAGTCAGATATTTTAGGGTTCAAATCCCCATCCAGGAGCACGTTGGTAGCTTTTATGTCTCTGTGAACAATCTTGAGTCTTGATTCTTCATGTAGAAAAGCTAGACCTCTTGCTATCCCAGTACAGATGTTAAGCCTCGTAGGCCAGTCCAGTTTAATCCGATGGTTTTCCCGGCCTATATGTCATCAGCCAAAAATGCTTATTTCTCATCTCAAATCAATTTTAATTCTCTTTTGATAAGTCATAGAAAGCATAAGCATGAAAAATAGTAATAATAATGACGTCACTCAAGTACACGGACAATGTACAAGGAAAAAACTGAAAATCAGATTTAAGAACTTCCCTAACAGAAATGTTAGAATTCATATGGCCAGTAAGCTCGGTCAAATCAAATTTTATATGTCTTGTATATTCAGATCTGCACTTGATCAAATTCTATTGAAGTCATAAAAGTTCAGGTTTGAGCAAATGACGGTAATCGTACCAAATAAGGCGCCTGCAAGACTATTGTTTTCCATGTACTCGTACACCAGCAATAGTTGGTCCCCTTCAATACAACATCCATGCAGTTTCACTAGATTTGGGTGTTGCACACAAGATATCATGCCCATCTCATTTAAAAATTCACGGTTTCCTTGCCTTGAGTTGGATGAAAGCTGCTTAACTGCTATCAAAGAACCATCAGGTAAGTGACCCTGCATCCCAACCTTAGAATTCAGAATTTAATTTTTCTATGTAGACTTGTCTTGCGAGAAAAGGACTTCCTTTCGAAGTTCTATATGCCAAAGAAAAACAGGCTTACCTTGTAGACAGGGCCAAAACCACCTTCTCCAATCTTGTTTGAAGGATCAAAGTCATCAGTTGCCACTTTTATTTGTTTCAAAGTAAACGTCCCTGTCTGCATATCTCGTCCTACAATATATGTCCAAGAAGGATATAAAGTATACCAAATAATTTTTAATTTTAGTTTTCTTGGCAAATAACTTATATACAAATTAATAGATAATCTGCAAGTGATCAATTTGAGAATGGGATGTTCAATGTAAAATGCACCTTTTTGTCTCCCCCTTTTCCCTCGCAAGAATCCTTTCCACCAAAGGATTGCCAGTATGAAGATTGTTAGGCATAGTGCCCCAACGGCAACACCAGCAACGATATAAATAGTTCGTGCATTTCCACCGTTTGTACACGGTTTAAGATCTGGCCAATATAATAAACTAAACAATTCACTAGAAAAAAGTTTTGAGCAAACAAGAAGATAATGCTTTGACTATATAGACATTTGTTTTGCTCAGATAGGAATAATCATGAAATGTGAAGAATAACATATTCAGGACCCGCTAATAAGGGGCGGCGAGCCCAACATGTTTCTAGATGTTTGAATCACACAAACTCACATAATCTTTAGACCAAAAAAATCTTAACTCAATCTAAGATAATAGTACTAACGTGAAAATGTAGTAACGTTGACAAGACTGACTCACCGGAAACCACAGAAATAGCTGATATAAGGGGACCATAATCTCCTCTCTCAGGAGTCCTCGTTGTCCCTTTTCCGGCCCAATAGAATCGGATCTCTAAGACATTGCTTGTCACATTGACATTAGGTACTTGTTTAACCAACTTCTTTTGAGCCATACCTGCCTCATCTTCAATATTGAAATCCTTCCACACCAAAATTTCCTGTGAAAAAGTTGTCTTATCAAAGCTTCGAGTTGCAATTACATAAAGGTTGGCATTTTGATTTGTGCTAGCTAAGTACCTGAACATAGATATCAAAAATACGCCTCCCCAGACTACTGTATCTTTGATCATTTGTGAACTTGATCTCCGCAAAATGGAGAGTTATAGTGTAACTCCCATTTTCTAAACAATAGAAGAAATAAGTAAGTGAAATTGGACATATGCGTGCTGTCGTATATAATTCAGAGAGATTCGAAGATTCCAGAGATATAGAGTAACGTGTATTCTGTAAATCGTAGTCATCCATGAAGTCACCAGTGCTGCTAAATCCCCACATACTTCTTTCATTTCTATAATATTTTGCAGTACCACCTTCAACTGCTCCATCTCCTTCATACAAAACCTTTGTGTTATTCTCGTCCTTGAACGTTATGTCACCTCCACCACAATTAACATGCATACATTTTGAATCTGTCCAAAATAAAACAACAAAAAAAATAATGAGGACAAATATGAGGTAGGCAGTACAACATTAAGCATGATGCAAAAGTCATCTTGTACAATTTTGCTTTGGGTCTTTGGAATTCCACAACAATCCAAAGATGGTGTAATGAGTGAACGAAATACCTATGCAACGCCCTATCCATTTGCTATACTTCTAGATCGTCACAGTCATTCATT